TGCTAGACTGTTTGTAATTTACCTCCCACGGCTGACAACTGGGTAAGAATGTTTGTTATTTTTTACTTCTAGTTGTGTATATAGAATTTATAGCAGTCATAAAGCTAGTCAGAACGGATGAAACTTGCAGGTCAGTGTCAGCTTAAATTCTCCAAGTCCTATGAATCAAGTATGATGAGTGTTTATCAATAAGGTCCTACTATTTATTTCTGGAATGTAAACAGAAAATGGTAATAGCCTATGATGGTTGCATGCGGCGTCCACCCTTGACCAGCAAGAAAGACGCCACACCGAGGAATCTTCTTCAAACACAGTTTAATCGGGAACCTCTTTGCTTTGTACAATGTATAATGGAGGCGGCGGCCCCGGGCCGAGGGAGACGGGGCCTGATATAGTCTACATCACCAATCACCTAACCCTACGTGGCGCGCCAGGATAGGTTGTCTCCAAGCAGAATTAAGAGAAAACATCTCCTTTCCCATATTTGGATTTGTTTACCACAGAGAGCGCTCGCCGTCGGGCTGGCGGAGGGCAGAAACCGGCGCCATCTTTTGGGTGCGGTTTTCTGCAGCTCCCTACAGTTGCATACTCTATAGATCATTTCAATAGTCCAGAACTATAAAAATAAATAGCCTCTTAAAAATAAATTGGATATATTCATACAACAAAGCATAAAATAATCAACTTTAAAAGTATTTTGAATATATATGGGTATACTGTAAGGAAAAAAATATGCTAGAACCATTTGCAAAATCATGATTGAATTCTCCAGGTAGTATTTCAAGCAAGAAAATCAAGTATAATTAATTACTGAAAATATTATTCATTTGTATAAATAAAAGGCAAGACAATAGAATTAAAAATTATGTTCTCTAAAAATATGTAAGTCAATGATCAATGAATTAGAAAATAATAAATAAATTCCCAAAGTAGTCAGAAAAGTTTGGTTCTGGTGTTGGAATTTAAAGATGTGTGAAATATCAACAAAAAATGTTGGGAATTTTTTTCATTTATGTGGTCAAATTATTCTTTGTTTTATCATCAGGTTTAAATATATCACCAGTCCCTTCATTTCATACCACACCCCTGTAGACTTGGTTCCTGTTTTAGAACATAATGTGTAGAAGCCTAACCATTTAAGACATTTGTATACAGTAAGGATAATGTAACAGCGCTGCCTGAATTAATGGAAAGACAGTGTTTAACTAACGAGACCAAACTTTACTTGTTTTGCTGCAGTATACTGAAAAAAGCAGGATTGCAAGGAAATGTATGGCAGGAAGTAATATATATTTTCTTTGGAGAGTTGAAAATTTTTTTGGAAAGTTGAGCAAATCTTTGATCTGCTAATAAATACCTCCGGTGCATGTGATGGAAATGAAAGGAGACCCTGCATTGTTGTTAAGTATTAAAAATGGCTTCTTTGGAACAAAATGCAAGTTTGAACTGCCTCACTAATTAAATGCCTTTGCAAATCATTCTTTTACCCACACGATTCCTATGATGGTACAATGCTCAAATTCAGTGTGGTGAAATGTGACATCCTTCTTTCTTTCACCTGTGGCCTATGTACAATATTTTACTTGATTAATGCTAACATTCTAAAAAGAGGACATTAAAATGTAAGTAAAATACTCAGAAAGTTAGAGTATTGGTATCCATTAAGGATATCTTTGAAATTTTGAAGTAAGAAATCATCTGAATGTGCTCTTTAGATTTTTAAAGAGATTTGTATAAAACAATATTAATCTGATTATGGATTCCTCTCTCCAAACTCCTCACAGATCCATCTACTCCCCCACTCACTCAAACCCACAATTTTTTTCTTTCTCTTGTGTGGGTGCAAAATAGCATTAAAAATAATAATAACATGAAATTAGATACAATAAAAACAAACAAGAATAGGACTGAAACAAATAAAAAGAAGAAAATGAGCCAAAGAGAAAGCTCAAGAAACAGAGCCACTTATTTGCACACACAGAAATCCCCAAAATACAGATAACAGGAAATCTTAGGATATATGCAAAGGACCTGTAAGGAAAATAAAAATACCCTGACAAAGCAACACCTCCCAAATGCCATTGAGTTTCTATTGTGTTGGCCATCCACTGAGGAGCATGAGGATTGGCCTTAAGTGTGACCCAATGAGACTGCATTGGAAAACACTAGTATTTCTTTTTTCAAGGAGTTATCAGTTGGAGACAGTTTCTGGGTTAGGGGTGTGGGCTTGTGTCCACGTTCCCTCTCAGTTTTTGGATGCTGCCAGGCTCAGACCAGTATAGTCCCTGCACATGCTGCCACAGTCTCTGTGGGTTCATATGAGAACAGGCCCTACTGTGTTTGGGACTTACCTCTTGGGTGTTCTCCACCCCACTTGGCTCCCTCTTCCTTCCTTCCTTCCTTCCTTCCTTCCTTCCTTCCTTCCTTCCTTTCTTTTTTTCTTTCTTTCCTCCCTTCTTCCTTCCTTCCCTTTCTCCCTCCCTCCCTCCTTCCCTACTTCCTTCCTTCCTTCCTTCCTTTCTTCTCTTCTACAGGGTTTCCAGAGCCATGTGGGGAGAAAATGGAGACATCCCATTTAGTACTAAGTGTTCCAAGGTGTCATACTCTCTCTCAGCTGTGGGTCTCTGTAGTTGTTCCCACCTGGTATATGAGAAAGTGTCTCTGATGAAGGCTGAGCAAGAAGACACTCATCTACAAGTATAGCAGAACATAATTATGAATCATTTTAAGGCTATACTCCTTTAGCAGCACAGCAGTGTTTGGTTTACCTTTAGGTCCCTGGGATATCTAGTGCAGTGTCAGTAATGGATTCTATCTTATGGAGTGGGCCTTAAATCCTTTCTGATATTGTTTAGTTATACCCACAAGAATTGCACTTTCTTGCAAAAGTTTATCTGCTAGGAAAAGATTCCTTCTGGTGATTTTCTACTACTTGTTTGTTTTCATAACTTTATTTTCACTTCCTGATTTTGAAGGTGATTTTTCTTGAATATAAGATGTTTAGCTAAACAGACAAACCCTGTCTCAAACAAACAAACAAACAAACAAACAAAAGATACTTAGCTAGCAAATTCTTTTGAACTTTCAAAAATGTATTGTCCTTCACCTTCTCAAACCACTGTTTCTGATAAGTTGAATGTATGAGTTTGGGGAAGTTCAGGCATATGCCGTAAATAAGTTTTGAATTTGTTGCTTTTATGATTCCCCATTGTTCTTAGTGTCACACATCTTTTCACTTTCTCCAGGATGATTAGCTGTGCATCTCAATCATGTACTCTCCTGAATGCTTAAGTTAAGGCTCTCATCCAGCACTTGGAGTCTCCCCATAGTTTGGTCATGTACTTTCATGTTCATTTTCTTGGGACTTCTCTCCTAGGATTTAAATTACACATTTTGTGCATTAAAAGCAGCCTTGTAACTAGGTGAGGAAAATGGATACATTTTCCTTCATTCTGCACTATTCAAATTTTATAGTTTCCATCAGTTCATCTTCAAATTTACATATTACATCTTCCACCAGGTTAAATCAACTGTTGAGCAATCTAATGCATTTGTCATGCTAGGTATCAAAGTTTTCAAGTAGAGAACTTCCAATTTGCCCTCTTAATGATTTCCGTGTTGCTTCCTGAAGCTGTATTTTCAAACATTCCTAGTCCCTTTACACATGGATTTCTGTAGCTCCTTGAACTTACTGTTGCTACTTTTTCATGTTTATTGAAGTAAGTATTCAGTTCTCACAAACAGTTTTTGTTGTTTGCTTTTATTCTCTATATATGTCCAGCTGAATCTCCGCATGATTCCTTTTTTTAAATGTGAGGCATTTGTACAATACCCTGAAGCAATTCCCCTTTCTCCATGGGGATTGATTTTGTGATTGCTTGTGAGTATATGCATTTTCTGACTTAAATAGCCTGCTTTGGCAAACTATCTTCTTCACAATGTGAAGTCTTTTGTAGCCTCTCTCTGACTGAAGCTGTGGGCATGTGGACACTCACCCTAGAATGCTGTGTTTTCTCCTAGGGTACTTAGCCCTTCCCTTGATCTTTCTGTTAAATCTGCTGCTGTTTTACTATTATATCCTACCCTGGAGACTCCTCTGATACTGGCTGATTCCCCTTTTGTTTTTCCCATCATCCAGGACCAAAAATTATTCAGTGTGACCCAATAAAGGGTTACAGTGTCTGAGGCCTATTTTAGAGGGTTGTCAGGTTTCCCGTGAACTCTTGAATGGTCTCTGACTCTCTGTGGAAAATTACATGGCAGACAAGTTACCTTCATGTTCTTACCTAAGAAGACTATTTACAGAAATCTCCCTTCATCAGGAACCTGCCCCACTCTGTCGTTTCAAACAACGACAATTCTTCCCAGAAGTGTTTCTGAGCTCACTTTGGTATTAAACTGTCACTTTTTTACTGAGAGAACCCTGGAACCAGGGTAACTAGAGAAGCTTCTACTCCTCTTGGCTTGTAACTTCTAGCAACTTCTGCTCTATAAGAACATAAGGATAAGTTTCTAAGAGGCTTTAGCATCCTCAGCTTATATCCCAGGGCCCAGACTTAACCTATGTTAAGGGTTGGGTTGAAAAGGAGCCTCCCCTTTTTGTAATCCCACTTCAGGAATTTAACTTCTTCAAATTACTTTTGGAATAAAAGAGCAGTATTGGCAGCCCATGGCTATAGGTCCACAGAACTGTAAATAGAACTCTTACAGATTTATAATTTTGTTTATTTGTTTGTTTTGCAACACAGATTCAGTATATAGCTCAGGCTAGTTTTGAAATCTCAGTCATTTTCCCCCTTTTATTGAAAATAGATTTTTTCCTTCATGCAATATATCCTGATTATGGTTCCCCTCCCTTGACCTCTCTCAATCCCCCCACATCTTCCCTCCCATCTGGATCTACCCCTTGCTGCCTCTTATTAGAAAACAAACATGCTTTTAAGGGAGAATAATGAGAAAAAACAAAATGTTATAAGTTAAAAACAAAAATAACATATCAGAATAGGACAATACAAATAAACAGAATGGAAAAAGCACAAGAGAAGGCACAAGAAACAGATAAAGACGCAGAGACCCACTTGTCTACATACTCAGGAATCCCATAAAAACACTAAATTAGACCTCAATTTTTATGCTTCAGTCTCCAGTATAAGATTATAAACCTAATCTGCCATGAGTAGCTTGGCTATTTTTAAAGGTCTATTTCCAGTTATTTCAATGTATGTTGAAAACAAATATGAGGCAGTCAAATATGTTTAAGTTGCCATGTGAATCTGATTATTACAGTTTTCAGAACTATTAGGGTCCAGAGCCTGGGCCATGGCAACACCAATAAGTTAGGCAGACCTCTTTTCCTAGTAGGCCAGGGTCAGACCCTTGAAAAACAAAGATTTAGCCATATTGGGAAGAAGAACAAAAAAAAAAAAAAAAGATTCTGTGAACACCAAAGCCAACTATTGGATAATGAAATGAGGTTTAAATTTCTTCTGCAAGGTGATTTAACAAGTTGTCAAAATGGTGTGAAATCTATTCCCAGAGAAAATAGATCTCTTCCCAGAGACAAGTCCCTCCAGTGGAAGGTTGTAACAATAACTCTTTCTGCTAACTGCCTGAGTTCTGTTGACATGCTAGGGCCCCAAAATAACACACAGAGTATTATATTATTTACAATGCTGCTGGCCAATGACTAGAATTTCTTATATGCTAGCTTAGTCTTAATTATCAACCATAACTTCTAATCTATGTATTTTATAAAGATTTATCTTACCTAGGACACTGGCAGTATGCGTCCCCTCTTCACGGGATCACATTGCAACTCCTGAATTTCCTACATTTCCCAGAATCCTCCTTGACTTCTAGTCCCAACTAACTTGCTTCCCTATTGTCCAACAGTGCTTTATCTATCAACCAATAAGACAAACATATACAAAGAAAGGCTTCCCCTATCAGAAGGTACCAAGCTTCAGGTTTTTTCCTTCCATCAGCATTAGAGTCTTAGAAATTCCTAGTTTGGGGAGAACCATTCTTTCATTTTTTTTTCTAACCAAAGAAAGATGTACAAGTGTCACAGTTTGAAATATTTTCCTCCTGACAGGAATGTTACTCTGTCATCTTCTTTGAAGACTTGCTATTTCTTTAGTCTCTCAGATACAGTGATTTTTGTGAAGTCGTATCACTAGCATTTAATAGAACTGGGCTGAAAAATGCAATAGGTAAAGGTGCCAAAATCAATTTTTTGTAATTAATCATCAGTGTGTATGGCATCACATGATCTCTCTGTCTCTCTGTCTCTGTCTCTTCCCCATCTCTCTTTTAAAAATTCCCTTATTTATTATATATACAGTGTTCAGCCTGTATGTATTCCTGCAGGCCAGAAGAGGGCACAAGATCACATTATGAATGGTTGTGAGCCACTATGTGGTTGCTGGGAATTGAACTTAGGATGTCTAGAACAGCAGCCAGTGTTCTTAACTGCTGAACCATCTCTCCAGCCCTGCCCCCTTTTCATGTTTCTTTATCTGCAACAAAAGGGAAGATTTGATTTGATAATATACGATTATAGTTAATGTCAAACCAGTACTTAAATCATCACTCTTGGTGAACCATATTATCTCTTCTTATTAATAGAAAATGAAAAATGATTGTGCCCAAACATGAACTATTCATCCAACAAGGTTTCAACTACCATTTAGTATAAAAACTCAACAACATGTCAAGTAATTATTATCATGCTAAAATCATTCCAAAAGAATAGATTTCTTTTTGAACTTAGCTTTTCACTCAAGATTTTGAAGAAAAGCCTCCTTTAGAAGAGAGCTTACAGATTTGAAGCCTGGACAGGAGAACTGTTTTTTATAAAGATGTTCAGTTTTTTTAAAATGTCTCTTTTGTATCAGTTTAGAAAGAGATAATACAGAAAGAGTGGTTTTAAAATTCAAACACTAAAAGACTTTGTTTCCAAAATCATGCCTGATTAAACCTACAATAACTGGTTCTGGGAACTAGAGACCTTGAAAGAATGTGTGAGTTTGTATAGCTAGTGTTTTCTAAATTATGAAGTAATGACACACTATTATATTAGCATTTTGCTTATTCTTATCACATTTATTTGAAATCTTCAAAACTTCACACAAGGATTAAATGAAAATTTGTCTTTACTATATTGTTCTAAAATGAGATCCTTGGATATCTAAGAGAGACTAGTAAAGAACAATGGTCAATAGGTTGTTGTTATATTAAATAACCATGCTGCTAAGTAGGAAAGGCATTAAGAACATGTATTTGTCATAATTTTACATAACTGTCATATATTTACCTTTTGTTTATTCTGTTTATTTTCTAGAGTAGAGGAATACCTCAGAGCCGCTTCTCTCCCTTCACCATGTAAGGCCCCACAGATCAAACTCAGGCCATCACTGTTGGCAGCAAGCACTTTTACCTTCTAAGACATCCCACCACTCTCATCCCCAAGTGCAGATGTTCTGAGTTCAGAACTCAATTGCCTTGAAGTTGTCCACAGGACATAGAAGAGTGCATCCAGGAAAACCTTGGATTCCTTATACATATGATTTGGGGAATGGATATCCCGACAATTGAGTTAGACCTTTGAAGACTAGCATTTGTCTTGTTCCCTCAACTCTTAAGCTCTCTGTCAGTCCCCCTTGAATGGAGATGAAATAGCATCTAGGTAGACCATCCCATATTTTTTTTTAATTATCAGTGACTTTCACTCATGTTCTAAAAGATGGTGTCCAAATTTCAATGATTACTGGCCATCTAAAACATTATGGTAAGAGAATGAGAAATGCCATCTTGGTTTATTCAGGTTCCGTAACACATTGGTCATTTCACACATATTTATTGCAGGAACTGGAGAGCCAGCTCTCTCTGGAGTCTTTACAATGGTTCTGATTCTAAGCATGAGCACTGTTCTCTGCTGCACACTCTCCTCTCAGGAGCTCTACCTCCTTGTAGCATTGCCTTGGGTTCAATATGCAACACATGAATCTTATGAATGCACAGCATACAAGCCAAAAATGAATCTCTATACCATCCATTCAAAAAGGAAATTAAAAACTCCTCTTAGAAATTCTCCTGTCAAGCTTGTCAGTGCCCCATTCTTTAGAAGGTTAGTTCATAGATCATATAGATCGAGGCTAGGAAGGTAAAGAATTAGCCTCTCCAGCTCTACAGTGAAGACATAAAAGGGGATGGGGGTGATGATGATTTACTGCTCAGAACCAGATGACCTTTTCAGGCTCAATATTAAAATGTTTGCCAGTTTTTTGTCAGGTAAAATCTGTGAATACCCATAAAAATGAAGAAATCAGTTGTTAGTATTCCAAATTACCCAATAAAATTAAATCTTATCTTTTTCTCATACTTAATTTGAATTTTTGTCAGTCATTGTCATTGTACCAAAAATTACAAATATTACCTTGAATATCACTGACACACCAACAAGGAATATTTTCTAAGGATGAAATGGAATTGAATTTAAGAATATGTTTGCACTCTTACTGGGAAAAGGAAAGTAACATTCACTGAACCTGTTAGTTTTATTTTTCCTTTGGGGTTAAAATAAGTTTTCTCTACATCTTTGGAAAATGTCAGCAGACAACTCAAATATGATATGAAACAGAAATGCTGGGGCTCTAATTTGCATCAAAGCCAAAGCCACAGGACTTCTGTCATCTCCTCTTCAAAGCACTGTCCTAAGGGATGTACTGTTTCATTGCAAACCAAGGAATCCATGCTCAAACAAGTAACTGCTGCCTCAAATTTAACCTGAAAGCTTTAAATTGGAAAAAACAAAATAGCTGAGAAGAGAGCCCCACCAATTCCCCAAGTGTTCCTGCTGCTTTCAGACAGTGTTCCTCACCATTCCAGATATTGTGTTAATAAGCAAAAAAGAGGTAAACAATGCCCTGGTGAATTACAATAAGACATATTACAAATAAATAGATCATAACCAAAGAGGGAGCTCATGAAACAAGTCCAAGAACCTAATTTTCTAATCTCTATAACTCATATTTTAGTTTATTTTCTTTCCAGGTAACTTTCAGTATCCAGGAATTTGTCTTGGGGCATATATTAGAAAATGCAAAGATAATATAAATATCGTAGAGAGCAGCAGGATAGCATTGGGACTGAAAGCTAATATTAAAATAATAACTAAAGATATTGTGAAAGCAATTTATAAGTTTTCAAAATCATTCAAATAGCTGCTGTTGCTGTGTATTACAAAACTTATAAACAAATATTTTGGTGCATAGGTGAAAGTACACAGTTTTCTTTTATTTTAATAGTGAGGCAACTGTCTCCAAGTCCTTCTAAGAACTGGGATAGAAGCAAACAATGCAGAATAAATATCAATAAGTAAGGAATGTTTCAGTAGTGTGTGTGTGTGTGTGTTTGTATGTATGCATGTATGTTTAACTTTGAATGAAAACAGCAAGAGACTCTGAAAATGACCAAACAACACTGAAAATGAATTCAAGTATTATTCAGACAATTTATAAATTTTACCTCATTTATAAAGATGTTGAAACTAAATACACGAGTTGTGAAAATCAAACTGTATTTTACTATCATTCCACAGAACACTATTTGTTGTTTTAATTAATCTTAATGCTTTCATTTTTAAACTCTTTTTCAGTGAAAATTTCCTAAATGATTTAGTCAATTCCAGGAAGCAATCAAATATATATTCTGTAGGTGATATTTCTTTGGGGATTTGTGTTCTTATATGATTTCAATATTGAGTGTGTGTGTGTGTGTGTGTGTGTGTGTGTGTGTGTGTGTTATCTTTAGATATGTGCTTATTTTTTAAGGCTAGATTGTTAAAGTAAATTAGTATAAAATTTTATTTACCCTTTCCTATTGAAGTTATAGAAAATACTTTCCAGAAACAGAGAAATAATTTTTACATTTTCTTAACTCACTATGAATTATTATATTAATTGTCTAATTACCTACTACCATCTGAGTTCCTATGTTCATAGAAATATATTGATTTCCTTTCCTGTTTAATCACCTTAATTGCTTTTATATACATCTTTCACTGAGATAATACTCTAAATTAAGAATTAATCTATTATGCTAAATGTATTTTGAATGATATTTTAAGATTCAGTTTTCAATTTGGTATTTATGAGGGTAATATCAATCAATTACCTTTCATTTTCAATAATCACATTTCTTTTTCTACAGATGACATAGCAACAAAGCTTCAGCAGGAGTGAAAGGCATGGTTTACCTCTTTTAGGCATACCAAGGTGATTAGAATAATAACGTCACAATCACAGAGACATGGAAATACAAATGTAAACCTTCTGAAAGGATTTGGTGGAAGCGGCCCAAAGAATCAGAGTGTTAAATGTTTGCACCATTCGTGAAGGAACAAACATTAATGATATGAGCAAAGACATGGAGCAGTATTAATTAACTGAGTCAAGGTGGATTCCACCACTCCTCCTTTGCATGCCAGGAGCAATCTGATATCTTGCTGTCTGTAAAACCACTGTGATATACTTATTATTAATACACTGTTGACTTACTGTATTAAAATGTTTGTAAAATATCTTATGTAATTGATTATAGCATTGCTTAAACCTAATGGAATTGAATATAAAAAATAAAGCCTGGCTAAGTGCTGCAAAGAATGAGCATACTATTTTTATGTTTTATATAAAGAAAATCTGTGGCAATTTATCCATTCAAATTTTTATTTATATTTTCGCAATTTATTTTTCAATGTCTTCCTTCTCCCACTTTAATTATGATGAGACTGAAGAACAAAAAGAAAACAAATATTGCTAAAACATGTCCAAGATAGTGTTTAAATCCAATGGCTTTTACCCAGTGAATTTTTAAAACTAATGTTAATAAATATTTTATTTGCCAAAGGCTAATGTGTTACTGTATATATATATATACATATATATATATATATATATATATATATATAAAGATGAATTTGTTTCTGTTATTTTATTTTACCTTTCCTGTTTCCTTCTTTTTCATCAGCATCATAACTATCTAAAACTGAAATGAAACTTTGTCAGTTTCCATTTTTGTCCAAAGGCTCACAATTATCATGTGATGCAACTAAAAGCCTGTCAGATGCTATTAATGATATACAAGACACAAATTGAATGATTTAATTTTCTGCCTTCAATACCATCTAGGTACCACTGCTGTTCTCTGCTCTGTAGCTGCCAGTGGTGGTTTCTAGCCACTGTGGAAATTCAAGACCCAGATTCATAAAAATAGAGTTACTGGATAACTGAAGTATGCCTATTTTTTAGTTTATGAGATAATTACTGATATTATATTCAGCTGATTGTGGATGGAATTCAATAATGTCTACATTTTAGGAGAAAATACATTGTCAACAGTCAGAAGTGGGACATATCTGTTCCTCAATGTATTCTATATTTTCTTTCTCTTTTACAAATGAGAGAAACAAAAAAGTAGTTGTATTATTAAGTAGAAAACCTTACGATTCAACAAAGGAAGATTATTGTTTGCTTAGGGATATAAAATAGCCCTTTCTTCCCCAAGAAAAAACTACATTTCTTTAGTCTTAATTAGGATTTCCATGTGAGGAGAAAAGATTCAAGTTATCTTGAAAATGTGCTTTTGAAGAGTGCTTCTTTCTGAGTAAGAATTCTAAGTCCATATGTGGATGGACATCTATCTATGCAAATAAAATCATCACCGCATTACATCATTTAAATCTCATTGTGGCACCTAAGTTTAAGAAATAAAGAAATCTTGATATTGGCACTGGAATAAATAACATTTCCAAGCCAAGGAGGAATGATTAGAAAACACAGTTTAGTCTTAAGTGGGAGGAGAACTGTGGGAGATGCTGTGCGACCTGCTTTTAAAGACTGAAATGGACTGACTTGTTGGTGCCCTCCAGGATTCTCTTGCAGGATTATTTTAAATTTCCTTTGGATAAATGAGACTGAGTGAAGAAGAAACTTCAATACCTCAAGTTCTTTTTTCACCCTAAGAGCCTTTCTACTTCGTGCTTCAAAGGATTTTGCATTTGGCAAGAGGTCTGTTAGAGCTGGGCTGGAGAAAACTACTTATTTTCTCAGAGATTCAGTTAATTCTCTGTCACACTGATGGGACTGGATTAGGCTCTTCTTAGACCCTGTTACTGGTAAACTTTATGATTAAAGACTTAATAGAATACCATTACAATTTCAGTGTAGCTTGGAGGCACTCTTGAAGATATTCAACCAAAACTCACTCTGGAGAGTACTCAGGGCAAGAAAAGACTAAACTTTGTCTGACTAAGAGAGTTTGGGAAAAACCTGAAAGACATATGGCTGCCACATTTACTTTTTGTCTTACATCCAAACTATGAGCAGAAGCTGAGTCTTCAATAGATTTCCAAGTAGAAGTTTAAACAGCATGTATGTATAGTCATTCCCCACCAAGAGCAGGATTCTGTGATTCTGTGATTTGAGAATAGGCAGGTTAAAAGATGGGACTAATAAAGTTCAGTTAATGGCTCATTTCCACAAATATTTACATTGCTGAACACTGTTGTAGAATGTAGTATATTGCATGCTAGAGAACAAATATAGATACTCTTGTCATTCAATCTATGAATTTGAGGACTATTTTAGCTGCTGTAAGGAAAAAAGAAAATTAAAGCAGAAAATGCTTGTATTAGAAATGATGTTGAAATACCAAACATAAGAACAAAAGAAAAACTCTTCCTAAATAATATTGAAAATGTTTTCTCATTTACAAAAATAAAGCAATGAAACATAAATTTTATAGAGGGAATATAAGTTGTTCAAAATGTTAACTTAGAATGATTTTGCTCAATTGAATACCTTAGACAAAACTACTCAATACTTATGCCAAATTGTAAAAATTTTATTTAAAGTCTTCTAGAAAAATTGAAGAGGCAAACATGACTCTTGGTGTGTTTGATGGGTCATTTTTAGCCTGACAATAAATCCAGACCAAACCATATGAGAAAATAAACTCTACAGGCCAATGCATGACAGAAGGTAACCCAATCATCCTCAAGAAATTCTCAAAGACCAATGGGTAGTAAGAGGTTAAAAGCTTAAAAACAGTCTGTCTTTATTTAGCAATGAAAAGGTGATTAAGAAAGAAAATGCAGTCTTATTAGCTGTACTTGTGAAAACAGTGAAAAATACATGAACATATTAATAGAAAAATAAATGTATTCTAAAATGTTCAATAGCAGATATATTTGAAGCTTTAAACTATCTATAAATTTTACTTTGACAAATTAAAAGATTGAGAGGGACTAATAACAAAGATTCTACCTATATGAGCGTGAATCAAAATTATACCAGAGGCACTAGATGTTTACGTAAGAAAAAGGCATAATGTAAAAAAGAAAAAAAGTATTTCTACTTATTTAGGAAATTTTTGTTAGATAAAATACTCCAAGGATTCTACCAATGTTGAAAGTCACATTAAATTTTAATAACTGAAGGATGTGTTAATACACCAAAAATTTTATATATCATTAAGTAACAGACAAAAAGATTAGAAAATAAGATATAAATATCACATTAATAATAATGTAAAAAGTGAGATAGTTGTGGATAAATGTAACAAAATATATGCAGTTATATGATAAACTTAATAAAACATTAGTGAGAAAAATTGAAGAAGGACTAAAGAAGCAGATATTGATATATTCAGAGATTTGATGTGTTAATAAATTTGTTTTGAATTGATTTGTAAAATCAATAAATTCTCAATAATCCTACACTTTTTCTAATAGAAATTGGTTCATTAATTCTAAAAAGTAGACAACCTAGACAGGACAAATATCTACAAAAAATTAAGATAAGAGATAAATCTTACTAAATTTTAATAATTTCCATAGAACCATGGCAACAAAACAGTGTGACATTTGGTGAAAATCGAGATAAAAAGTTCCTTAGAATCGAAAAAGACCTACACAAAAATAGCCACATTAATTTCAATTGCAATTTATAAAAGCCATCAAAACAATTTAATAAGAATAACACTGTCTTTTAGAAAATTATATTGAAATAACTAAATATTATTAGAGGAGTAGAAACTCCAAGATTTTCCTGATAAACACTAAAATGTGTTTGTGACATGAACATTCAAGTAGACAAGTGACCTTGGAAATTTTGAACTAGAAAGCAAATGCATAAAAATTTTAAAAATATAAAACAAATGGAAAATTAAGACATTTGGCTCTTCAAAAGACACCAAGAAAAATTGAGTTGGGGCAATCAAACATATCCATAGACAGGGGCTATGAATTCATTTGATTGTTGTAATCAGCTTTCAGTATGGACATATATCTGCCCTGAGAAACTTTTCTTGGAGAGATAAGACACTCAAGTCTACTCACAGAAGATAGGTAACCAATGACAGACAAAAGTAAAGATTACATCTACTTAGTGAGCCAAAGCGTATATTGAGGCTACTTAGAGGACTATAGATGAAGATTTTCATACAGGAGAAAGGCTGACTCAAAGGCAGATGCATGTCCAAAGTCTTACCCCAAAGTACATGACCTGCAGCCAACTCAAAATGTCAAAAAGCCTCTTTTAGCTTGGTGAAGAGCTTCCCCCAAGCATCTCTGCCTCTTTTTATCTTCCCAAGCTGGTATTGTTTCTACAACATTTGAGAGGGACTCACGGGTCTCATTAGTTTCAGTTCTCTCTCTCCATGACCTCCTATAATGTGATTTAATTTCTAAGTGTCATGAACTTCTCTCCTGCCAGCAGGAGATCATGTTTCCATTCAGAGGAAATCAGTACCTAAAACGATCACATCACATCACCCTGCTATATATCTTGAATGCATTAAGTCTTAATTTATCATTAAACAGTATGGAGGTGGATAATTCTAATTCTCATTGGAGAACATTTCCATAGGAGTAGTGATTTGTGCTTTTCTAGATATGGGGGATTATTTCTTTTGCCTTTCACACTGTGTTTTTACCATATGACCTGGGCATGTGGACCTATTTCACTGGTTGTGTGTCTAACATGTGATTATAGCCTGCTTGTGTTTAGTGTAAGTATTTTTGTTCTCCAGATTTATTGGCTTCAACCCCAAATGTCCACTGGATGAATGACAATTTTCATTATCTTAATGAGAAAAATCAGTATATAATTTGAATCCAGTATGGTACCAAGTTCTCTTATCCTTTGTTTCTCCACCTTGGCAATTTTTTTAGGTGGCTTATTTCTGAGGATATATGAGAACAAACATCTAAAACACCAGGTGGGAAGCCAGCAACAGACCAAAGTGTAGACACCACTAAAGTCCAGTTTGGCACATCAGTGAGTTTTATTAGGGTTATTAAAAGGAATATGGGTGAAGGGCTATGTAATGAGCATAGTAAAAATGCCTTTTAGGCATCTAAAAATAACCTTGTCAGGATCCCCCCTATACCCAAGGCTACACCTGATAACCAGAATTTAATGACATCACTCACTGAAGAAAACAAGACACAGTTCTAGACTCCATGATGCCCACTATACAGTATTTAAGCAGAGACCAAGACTAACGCTCTGTTCTCCACATCTGGAGAGATGCCACTTTGATATGCCTTCACACTGGAGATTCTACCCCAGGATTCTGACCCTCAAATCAGAGACTTCTT